GCGCTTGCAAACCGAGGACCTTCGTAGGAGGCCACCATTTCTGATATTCCGTGCAACGTGAATTGACATTTGAGCTTGCTGATCCCTGCTTCTGTGGTCGTAGTGGTGAGTAAATCGACTTCAAATAATCACTATAGTAATCCACCGTGAGTAGCTAATCATTTCTGTTCTCACAGAATAAATCCACGGCCACCTTCTGCCACGGTCGATCAGGGACATCATGCAACAGCATTTTGTGTGAACAGCACGCCTCACAATACGACATATGATCTCTGAGTTAATCCGTCATTCCTGTCCAAAAGCTCGATTCTGTTACTCAGTTAATGTATAGTTGGCACCCAGATGAGCGAGATGTATCTCTTTCAACGTTTTCCTCAGAGCGATGACGGAATCAAAAAGCGGCCTTCCTTGAACAGCAAACCATCCTATACAGAGAGTCCAACGCGAATATTGAAGTAGGGTGTTAGCTACTTCGGCAGCTGCTTTTTCGCTTCTGTTCAACCACAGAATAACATCTGGAAAAACTTCAAACGCTGCATTTTCCTCTGTGTAGCGCCTAACTTCATTCAGATTATCTTCCGTCACTGTCAGATGCCGCACTAGGTTTACTGCTTCGACCATGTTATATCTCCTGCTTAATAGTAAGAAGACTGAACTGGCACTGCTTAAAAACGTTTACTTGCACAACTGATGTTACAACCAACTGTGAGGGAAAGCCGTTAACTACACACCTGGTCGAAACCAATCGATGCCCACGTGTCATATGATTGGCTGTAAGTTCCAAGTTAACATATAAACACACGCGCTGAAAATCGATCCATTTTCACACGCTGTCTGTGTGGCTGACATCTGTGATCTCTCTAACAGATAACTTCTGGATTGTGCTCTGGTACCGGTAGATGAGCTCTTGACAGCGATGAACATCTGTGCACCAGGCGCGTACACAATATCCAGGTGGTACTTTTAGAGTTGGAAAAGACGAGGAACAATGTGCAGCGGTTTACTGGATAACGACACAAACGGTTTGTGGTCGGTATACACGGTTGTCTTACTTCTGAATGTATAATCGTTGGAACGCTCCATGGCATAGACTACCGCGAGTATCTCCTTCTCAATCTGCGCATTGCGCTGCTCGTTTACGGTCAGTGCTCGGCTGCGGAAATCCAAAGGTTTTTCATTCTGTAAGTGAACAGCAGCTATTCAGTCCTGGCTACTATCACCCTGTACCTCCAAAGACTGCGCTGGATTCTAATATATCAAGGTGCCTGATAGTTGTTAACGCGGTTCCCTGTTGGTTTCCCCAACTCCACTTGACTCCTTTGTGTGTTAGCTTCCTGATCGACGTCATGCTATCAGCGAGTCTAGACATAAAAGGGCCCAAATACTTTACCATACCGTTTAAGCGTTGGATTCCGCTCACGTTGTTACAAGGTAGCATCTCTCGTACTGCCTTAAATTTTCCTGGATCGACCCGCATCCCTCGGGTGGTTAACACGTGCCCAAGGAAAATCACCTCAGCTTTCTGAAGCCCAATTTTCTCGCATTAAGCTTGATGTTCTTTTACACACAACGCTGCAAGAGACCGTGATTAGCGTAATGCTCTTTAACCGTCGAGTCGTAGATCAAAATATCGTTGCCGCATATGTTACACTATCTAAATCGTCTACAGCTTGCACCAATCTTTTTGGCAAAATTTCACTCGAAACCTTTAAATCGAATGATAAACGCAGCCAAAAATAACGCCCGCATCGTGCACTAAATGTAACAACGGAACTGGCTTCTTCATCTAGAACCACGCGCCAGAAGGTAGAAGACAGGACTACCATCGTGAAATACCCAGCTTTGGCCAAACGCGGCATAATTTATTCTAGGGTAGGTAGGGCATAGTGCTCTCTACGCAGGACATCATTCAATGGCTTCGGGTCAATACACTGATGCAATTCACTCATCTTCTTCGTAATGCTTGCGACCTGACTAATCCATTCGGTTGCCTCGTCCAATTTGGCAACCGCACCCTCTCTCACTAATTTGATCAACTCAGCGCGGAACGTTTCACACTGCAAATGGAACTCTCCTAGTCGGTAGCGCTGTCGGTCGTATCAAAGGATCTAATGATAAGTGAGCGGTTCCCTCAAATTTCCCAAACCCGAGCTAAGCACAGTCGGATACTGGTCACTAATATCGGTTTCTCTCTGGCAAACATGCACAGAACGATCATGGTTAAAAACAACCAAAGTGAGAGACTGGATGGAATCAATTCCGAGAATCGGCATCAGCTCCTCCTCCACGGCCACAAACTCCAGCAAATATGAAGCTGCGTCCCTTAGGTTAATCACTTCGATTGTAGATGAGTCCCTCGGATGAAGTCTGGAACCATTCCACATGCGCAGGCAAGCTTGATCGGAGCGGAGGCACTCACCACGACAGTGCTTCCTTGGTAGAATTTCGACAATAGCTCCTGCGTCTAACTGGAATCGTACGGCTTTGCCTTCGATCAAAAGACTTGCGTAGACACAATTTTGCGATATCCTCCGAGACATGTTGCCAATTGAATGTTCTACATCTGCTGGGACTTGACAAGAACGAGCGCACTCGCATTGGTTGATTGGCAGCAACGAGCAAAGTGGTTCCTTTTCCCACATCTGGCGTATTTCGGTCCACACGCCGGACACTGTTCACGGGTGCGCGGGTGCCGCTTGGCGCAAAATTCGTAGATCTCCTGACTCACCTTGGTAGCTTCCGCTGCTCCGCCTACAGAAACGGCACACAATTCTGCACCAGTTGCGAGTTTATTTCATTGGTATTAATGGGTGATTGAGGACTTAACGTTGCAGATAGCAATGCAATGCTGCAGCGATAAGTTGAGTTGTCGTAAAAGCCACTTTGTCGTACTTTCCCCATTGATTCCTAGAACGATCCGATCGAGTATGAGACTGTCGCCCAAGCATTTACAAAAATTACAGCACCGGGCCAAATCTTAAATTCAATAACGTGCGCGTCGACTGACTAAATTGGGCCTCTGTTGCGCAAGAGCAAAGATAGCGCTGGTAGGTCTCGTTGGCTTGCCCTTCACAAAATTCACTGAATTTCGCAATAAGCGTCTCCAGCTTATTGGGATTTTGTCTTTGTCGTAGATCCATGTCATCAAGAACACCAATCTGAGGCAAACAAATGTTTTCAATGGTTCATCTACGGGCCGGTACAATCATATAAGGGATGGATAGTGATTGGTTCAGTGGTCTATTCTGAAATGATTCGGTCAATAGTTAGACAGCGAATAGTTTGTGGCTGTCTCATTCACACTGGTGGATTGAGGGTTACGTAAGCACAATGCCTGAGCCGATGTCAGAGTGACGAATAGGCAGATGGCTGTTAGACTAAGGCAGGTAAAGAGGGTGAACAAACCTTTTCACGAGCACAGTGGGGCGGGAATATGAGGATCGCAATGGCCTCTGCAGTGGCAAGCATCCTTAACCGCGTACCTTTCGATTTGCTCATTGGAACCTGATAAAACACAGCAATGGCATTCGGGAGGTTAACCTGGTGACCTGATTCGAACAGATGAGACAAAATACTGTTTGTAAGAACTCCGGTGCCCCCGTTCATCAACCTTTTAGGACTATGGTTGTTAATGTGAAATGACAGTTGACGAGCCGTCACGACACACGTCATCCCCTGCTCCGTGTTGAAACATGGCCAAGCAATACGCCATCGGTTGTTCGTCCATACGTACTAAATTGCAGAAACTCTGCCACTTGCTCTTCCATAGACGCCAATTATGCGCCAATTTCCGTTCACCAATATTCAATGGGGCCGGCAATGGAATAGAGGCTGGTGATCAAAATAGCATCCGCGAGTCTCCGGTGGGTTCGTCTTTGTCTTCTCTGACACCATGTTGCAGAACTCTGTTCTTCAGGGACAGGCGTTTATTCGGCAAAGACAGCTTGGCGAAAAGTACAACACCTTTGGCAAGCCAAACTCCTCCATATAAATTACGCGTCCACGTCCATAACTAACGACCCTTCTGACACGATGAGGTTCTTTCTATAACTCAGTCAAACAAACGATGATTAACTCAAATGAATGTCGGCCAATCCATGACCAGCAAGCAAAGCAGTTACACATACCCCCCATTGGCTATATGGCTTGCTCGGTTGACCTATCCGTTCACTCTGGTGTGACACTGTCATCACACAACCAGTAAGTTTGTTCATAACGATCAGATACATTGATGCGTGCATAAAATTTCTCTATCACTCTGCAAAGTACGGGACTGGGTATTATGCCTCGACTGGCCCCCTACCTGACCCAAATGAGTTTTGAATTCGGGTAATCGCCAATATGCCCTGTTACCGAACTCCGCCCTTGAAAGACAAGCATTTACTCGGCAAAGTGAACTCAAGGAAAATTACAGCACGATTGGTAACCAAAACTTCTCTGTATAAATTGCCCGTTCACATCCATAACTAAAGACCCTTCTGAGCCGATGAGGTTCCTCCGTTGACGCAGTTAAGCGAACGGTGAGTAGCCCACTCGAATGTCTGCCAATACGTGTGTCGTTCGTTGGTTGTCTGACTGGCCTATTCGGTCCATCCGTCCGCTGATATTACACTCCTATCTTGCCAGGTCGTCAGCTCATTTGCCCGACGCGATAAGCCGTCAAAGCTTAAGTCATCTCAAAAGTTTTTCTCCCTTAGTAGTTATTTCTGTGAATGGATTGCTACGGTGTTTGTTTTCCCAATTCTACAGTGTGCTTTATACTGGGATTGCGCACTTATCTGTCAAAAAGTTTTGAAATTGCATGCATCTGGATTAGCTTTCGATTGCTATTTTAGTCTACTACTGTAATCGGACATGCATGCGGAGGTGAACCAATAACTAAGTCAACTTGATGCGAGACAGTTGTACATAGCCAGACTGCTAAAGCGTATAATTTGGCGTTTGTTCATCTCGTCCGCTGTTTCAACCAAGTGATTGCCATTTATTCACCAATTTCGCAGATTGCACGGCATTTCTTTTCACCGAGACACAGAGGCACGAAAATTACGGCCAGCTTCCAGACCCTGAAGTGTTTTTACGGATGTGTGAGTGCGGAGCTGTCCCACTCATCGCGGACAGCATGAAGGTTTACATGGTCCGTGGGTGCGATCAAAGACTCAGCGGCTTACGCATATGCCAGTTTCCGAACAAGAAGATATTCTACGACTGGGTCAAGTCAGGTTTGTTCGTTAAAATCTACTTCCCGCCGGTTATTTTCCTGATATTTTCCAGAAACTATGATGTTCATGTGCATAATGCCAACTGAAGCCCACCACAAGTATGTTTGTGAAGTTAACCACAGGTTGATAAGAGGGTCATTTTGAAGCGCTGTTTGTGTGAATGAATTGCAACACGCAATCTCAATGTTGGTCCAGATTCCCATCGAAGTAAACCTTATCCAATTTGATCACTGGACCCTACAATCAGATAGTAACTGTTGTGATCAACGTTGCACATCATGACTCGGTGGCTGAACTGTAGAGGTTTCGGCTAACATCTCAATGGTTCCTGGTTGGATGCCCGTTTTCTCTATCTGATGAGATCAACTAAGATTGGAAGGCGTAGTGGAGTGCTATGTTTTCGGAAGGACAACACCCAATATCTATCAGGTGAACCACAGGTTCTTAAAAGTTGGGCTCGTCAGATAGCCTGAAACAAGAGGATATGGGATTAACCAATATTCTGTCTCTAAGGCACTGGATTGTGAGCGGATCAGCCTCGGTAAGAATGTGAACGTAAATCGCCTACAGTCAGTCTTCAAGTCAGTAGTTCAAAAGCGGTGTCCCTGTGAAGGAACTTGAAGGAAAACGTTTTTCGTCCTTGAAGTCACTATCACTTCATGAGATCAAAACAGTAAATGCCTTTTGTTAACCACGTCTAGTGGATAAATGCTAATGGAATCTATGAGTAAAATCTATCTCATCTTCTAGCATCTCTTGACTTCGAATTCTCGCGGCACGATAGTGCAGAGAACAAGCAAGATTTATGTCGCGCTATATGGGCATAAAGCAAGGAGGTATGGGTACTAGCTCACGCGGGTTGTCTTCGCCATTGGCTCACTTTGGTATAAGTTTGTGTCACACAAAAATACGGTGTATTGCACACTTATATAAAGGGGCTTGTTTTATTTTCAGCCCATCCCTCCAACGCTGCCTTTAACGGTGGGATGTCACATTTGTGCCTCTCTTCGCTTGTATGTCACGGGATCAATTGCCCTAAGTCGCACGGGTGACGTAGACGCAGTGGCGTAGCATGTGGGGCAGTTTGCCCCTCGCGACATGTGACAGAGGGCAACATTTTTAGTACCGACAATTGTTGGATACCAAATTTAAAGGGCAAAATATCCACAGAATCCTGGCTTTGAATATTTCAGTGTTTTTTTTTGACCAACAACACATTTACACCATGTGCCACAGCTGTGAGAACGTTCTTTCCAGTGCTAGCCTTGCATGTCCCATTGGGGTCAGTTTCACTACATTTAAGTCAGTGTCGCAAACGATCATCCATTTCGTCGAAAACTAATGCGCATTTTACTCTGAGCCGATTGTGCTGCCTTCACGCGCCTGTGCTGCCGCCAGTCAGATCGAAAAGTTTGCCACCACCCCGGGCTTCGCCACTGCGTAGACATTTGGTAGTTCGCATGGAAAAATAAGATGGTAGAGGCCAACGAAAGAGGGTCATCTGAATGGGACTCAGTGGTGGAACGATCCTGCAATCAAAAAGGATGAAACTAGAGGTCAAGATCGAATGTGGCCGTGCCGACTACAAACCAACTCGCCAACCTGCCATGCGATTGTGCTTCCACTTACAAAAGGAAAGGCATCGAGCAATCCGAAAGAATGAGTTGAGAGACTAATGGAGGATACCGAATTTCTAACGGTTGCTAGTCTGATCCTTTTTTACCCAAGGTACATACTTTCTGCCTCAAAACACCGCATCTTTTCGTTCCCTTTTGGAGCATATAAACGGGCGATTTTCCGAATGGCCATAATAAAACGTGGTAGGGAAAATTTTCCGTTGTTCGATGAGATGCTGCCGCAATTTCACATGAGCTAATTGTTGTTGGTAACCTGTTCCACACAGCAACATGTCTGACCAGGAAATAATTAAAGCAACGTTTTTATTTGATCGTTGTAACCTCTGCTGTTAAGCGTCGTTGTTAAATCCCTGAGTACAAGTGTATCACATTCCAGTGTACAAAAAAATTTAAGTGGATCATTTGCCCTACCAGATTACTTAGGAGCTACCTGTCATGCATCAGCCTGTGCATGCATATGAGCTTTATTTAAGGCTGATAGTAAGACTAGAAACTTTCCGGTAAACATGCTACAGAACGGACATGTGGAAAACAGCTTTTCCATACTGTCACGGACGTTTTCAGCCCATAGCCGAAAGGGTTCATGACCTTGACTGGCGTGGCGTGCTAATAGTACAAATCTTGCCCTGTCACTGTCGATTTGCGGAGACAATTTTTGTCTCACAGTCAAGCTCTTATACTCATTCGATTAAGCTGAGCGAGTGCTATCCAGAGCTACCAATCAATTGGATATAAGACCAATGTTTCGCTATTCCTGGTTATCTTGCTATTTTGGCGCTTTCCGTGAGTGCGCACACCCGCCGAACTTGATCCTTTCGGAGTCCAACAAGGCTACTTCTCGTCTCATCTGCGAGACCACGCTGCGGGCTCTTCAGCAAGCCTACATTCGTCTAAATCCGTTGCCCTACAAGGCAGCTATTGGAGAAAACCGCTACTTCTCCTACGTTTGACGCGGCATTGCTTGCAAGAAACCTTCGATTTCATTCGACATAATCTCGAGTCACCGCAAACTGGTCGATAAGTACACGCGAAAGGCGGCGTGTGAATTCCCGCAACCTACCAGTGACTCATCGCGCCATCTACATCCGACTAGTGGCTGGACCCAACAAGTGACCTGCGAAACGGTCACCTGTCTAACACCTGTCTAGCAAACACTGTGGAACGTGAACCAGTAAGTTCTTACTGTTCTGTATTTGAGTCCTAGACACACCTAGCCAACTAATACTACGCTATCCTACGAGATGGTCCTCAGCAGCCGTTCTAGAATCTTTAGACCCCAACAAGCTGTGCGCTTATGCAAATGACTGCTAGCTCAGTAAAATGTAGGCCTCCGCGACTAGAAAAAAAGAGAAGAGAAACAGGAAACCGCGGCCAAACACGTTGCTAATAAGTCCAAGATCCTGTCTGATATGCTCAAACGCATTAACCTCCTCAAGAAAGAAATCAATTCACTAAAAAACGAACTCAGTGCATTTAGCACTAACTACTACCAAATTTTACCAGTCTGTGAACTAATCAAAGACTCAAGTAACGTGAATTTGGATAAACTATGTACAGCCGATTCATTCTTATGACTTATCATCTCTGAAACCCAGAAGCGTGTGCGCAGATCAAAAACTGTGGTTATATTCAACATACCTGATAGACTTATTATCGAAAAAATTAAATCGCCCTCCTCACTGCCTACAACATGGATCTGTTTAACTGCATTTGTATAAGACTTAGGAAAAATGCAAAAATGAAGTCGTATCCGGTTTTATTGAAATTCTCCGATGAAGCGACTGATACTACTTTGCTGAGATTCCAGCGGCTGATTACTGCAAGGACCGAATTCAAAAACGCTAGTGAAGAAGGAACAAACACCGATAGAAAGACGCCTAGCTCTTAAATAAATGCTTGCAACTGTCTTAACTCACTATCCACCAAGTCACCGAATGGACAGTGAAGTAGACCTTGGCAGCACACCGTTAGTAGCCCTGAGAGATACTTCATCTAGTAAAACTTGTATCCTTGTGGTTCATACACAGAACAGCACAACACCTACTAAATGGCCGCATAAAATGGAACAACCCGGAAACTAAATCTCACCGAGATAACAACGGAACGTCCATCTACGAGTAGCGTGCGCATGAAAGATGCTGTGTGTACTACACCTGTGTGCCCTACAGTGCAAAACCTTAGAGCGAAATCCTCCATTAAGGTTCTGAGAACCAAGGAAACCCCCACAGTCAATTTAAATATAAATGCCCTAGCTCCAATCAAAGAGATCACTATAAATCATGGAATGGCTCCCCATCAACACGGCATCATAGCGTCCAATGCCAAACGACACTGCCACAACATACTCCAGAGCGTCGGTACGACTCGCTAACTCAATCCCGGCGGAGTAAACGATTTCGTGAGTCAAATAGTGACACTAAACCTGACTGTAGGATCAATGATAGAAACTCGGCAGAACACCCTCACATCCCACATCTGTCTCCAGACCCAAATTGGCAGCACACTAACACAAGTGGAACGGCAGCCAGTGACAGAAATTTGGAAATTTCTAGGGCATTGCCTCCTCCGCACAATAGCATTCTACAGTTGCTCCCACAACAACTAGTCTATGCCCCGCCGCCATTCCCTGTCATGGAACTCTCTCAAAACCCTTTTTTCGGACACCATTTCCCCCAACATTACCACCCGCCACTGGGATTGCTGTCCCTATGCCCCATGAATCAACAGATGATCACTGTACTAGGACACCTTCTTCCTTGGAGTCAGTACCAACTAGAGATCAAATCACAAATGCCTCATTGTGGCACACCACCAAGAACAATGCTAGCAAACATTCCCTTTTAACCCTCCCCACATCACCTCTTTCAGTATATTCTCTAGATTCCGCTGTTATAAACATTCGTTCCCTACTACCTAAACTGCATCTTCTTCTATGAACAATGATTTATCACGGGATAAAAGCAAGTGCTTGACACGTCCCGTAGGATGGTTGCGGTGAATATGATGAAATCAAAATATCTCTGAGTCAACTATCGAACGTCAGCCGAGATGAATAGTTTGATACTTAACATCAGTGTAAAATCAAAAAAATTATCGAGCATAAACTTTCAGAGAGACACTTGGGTGCAGTGATCATTGAGGTAAAGAGTGAGAAAAGTAAAATATGGTCGCTCACTTAGGTCCATTTGATACATAAATCCTGTTGAAATGCATCCTTGGCGTAATCCACAGTGGAGGAGTTTAAGTAACAAAATGTTGGGAGTTAAGAGCAACATCTAATCCTTTTTTGAAAACATCCAAGGTAGTAGAGGATACAACTGAGTCTGGGAGTGCGTTCCAAGGTTTGCAGACCAGAAGGGAAAGGTAATTACGTCGACACTCTAGACGGATATATTGTTCCTTCAACTTTAAGCAGTTACCCATGAGCTGCGTGTTGTGGCTAAGTTTCAGCAAATGGTGGCATACGTGGTTGGGGTCACTCAGTATCTGATGCGCTAATATGAGATCGCCGCGCATCCTTCGATAGCGCCCGCTGAAAATTCCCAGCAACTTCAGCCTTCGGTGGTAAGAGTGATAGCGCAAACCCTTTACATTCTTAGTTGCTCTTCGTTGTGGTGCCTCTATCGCTTCTAGGTCGCGTTTCAACCAAGGTTGCCAAGCTTGGATAGCGTATTCAACATGCGGGCGCACGTAGGAATTGTGCATCATTGGGAAGATTGATGGGGCAAATCTCCCGAATGCCCTTCGCAGCATGCCGACGTGCTGGTTGCCTCTTTTCGCATCTACCTCAGCCTGTTTTGAATAGTTGAGGTGGCTCTGTACAATCACACCAAGGTCACGTTCCTGGAAGCTGATCTGCAATCCATTTGTCCCAAGTGAATAGGTGTAGTTATGTCTATGGCGTAATTGTATAACGCGACATTTGTCTACGTTGAACGGTAGGGCGTTTTGAACTGACCAGTTCGACACTGTGTTAAGATCGTGCTGGAGCAGTTCATGGTCGTCCGGTCCTCTGATTCTTCGTCATACCTTGATATCATCAGCGAAAAATAGGAAATCGGAAGCAACTGATCTCGCCAAATCGTTAATGAACACCAAGAATAGACGAGGTCCATAAACCGAGCCTTGTGGTACTCCACACGCCACATCGATTGCATGAGAAAATGATTCTCGGAATCTCACCACTAGCCGTCGTTCTTGTAGAAAATTGTCAATCCAACTCAGGATTAGGTCGCCAATGCCGTAATTCCAAAGCTTCTGAAGGAGAATGCGATGGTTTAAGTGATCAAATGCTTTTGAAAAGTCCAGGTAGATGACATCGACTCCTACTCCATCATCAACAGCTTCAGTCCAGCCATTACGTGCAGTTAATAGGTTAGTATTTCACGAATGTTTTTGACGAAAGCCATGTTGCTCTGGGGTTACTAAATTGTGGCTTTCCAGGTATTGCATCAGCGCATCTGCGATGATTGATTCCATCGCTTTGGATAGTTCGGGAAGTAGTGTTATTGGACGGTAGTTGGCAGGATCAGTGCGGCTACCTCCTTTAAAACCCCCATTTTGTTCTCATCACTGAAATATTGTGCAGCTCAGACATAAGTGACTCTCAGCTACAAGTGACTGGCTACCACCTGTTTCGAAGAGATCGTTTGAGCAAACGAGGAGGAGGATGCACTCTCTACATTCGAAATGATACCACAGTGATGCCTGTTGATCTTCTGATACTCATTGACCTAGGAGATTCGTTGTTGTTAGCAATCCTTTTCAGTGACCTACTACTGGGTTGCATCTATAGATCTCCTGGAGCCACCAATCACCATACTAAACAACTAGTTGATGCTATCAACACTGCCTCAAATATTCCCTACAGACATAAGTTTGTATGTGAAGATTGCAACTTACCGCATATTGACTGGACGACGCCCACAAAAACATTTCAGGGAACCTCATGGGAATAATCCATATCATTCAGATCAATGGTTGGACTCAACAAGTTAATCAACCTACAAGAAGAGCCAACACATTAGATCTGATATTCGCCATGGGCATTCCGTCAGCACTCGTTACTATTGACAGCCCACTAATGGGGTGCGACCACAAGACTGTGCTGTGCAGCATGAATGTTAAAATAGCAAACAAACTATGGGTGACTGAGATGCCCACCCGTTGCATCCATCTCATTGACTGGATCATATTTGACAATCTCCTCAGCACCCTGAGTTGCGACAAATTCCCCTTAACACAGGATGCAATCTTAACCACGAACGAATGTATAAACAATATTCTCACCTGCGCTGACCTATTATCATCCACACAGCGGAACAACTCACATAACGGTCGTAGTCAATACAAGCCATGCTGCAAAATTACCGCCAAATTGAAGAAACTGAATTCCCAATATCGCAAAGACAATAAGTTTACAACATTACTACAAAATCGTGAAACTCTACTGAAATTAAAACAATAGATATTGCAAGCGAAAATCACCAAATAAAACAAGCGTTAAAAAAGCCGCTAAAGATACGAACCTTGGTGAACTTCTCTACAGGAGGAATGCAAAGCAGAACCATCAAATCCCAAGTCGACATTAGAAGATGAATCAACATCTGATGGTGTTAGCCAATTGTGTGGAGCATTGGACCCTTATTATGTAACCTCATTCAATACGGATAACAGTATGTCCCATCCTCTTCTAAAATGGAAAGCAGATGAATAGCTCTCGAGTCTTCCCCTGAGCCTGTGTGACGTTCAAAGGAGTATACGCTCCATAAAATCGTCATTTCAGTCAGGACCCAATGGTATTCCTCCAGCTGTCATCAAGCAATGTGGCAAAAACATTCCTCTGCTGATGTTATACGTCTTCACATTATCCTTAAACAGTGGCTATTTCCCTCCACAGTGGAAACTCTCGATAATAGCACCAAAACACAAAGGTGGCTCCCGATCTGCAATGACGAATTATCGCCCTATTAATCATACTGCGGCAGCCTCAAAGACACTGGACGTAATTGTCAAGAATGATCTTGTTCAATTCTTAACAATATTAGCCCTGATAAACAACGCATAACAAGGCTTTCTCACGAAGTGATCCTGTGTTGTGTAATCCGTCAAATACAATTCTTCGACCGCATAACATCAATTGCTGACAGTGGCATGGCAGTTATTCTCATTCAACTAAACATGCACAAGGCCTTCGATCGTGTGCCACATAAAGCGTTGTTGTACGTCCTGTACTCTTACGGCGTCAGCAGCCCGTTGCTAAGCTGATTTAAATCCTACTTAGAAGATCGGACACCGTGTTAAAATAACCCAGCAAACCTCCTCCTCGAGATAAGTTACAAGCGGAGTTGTCCAAAGCAGTGTCCTTGGACCACTACTCTTCCTAATGTATATAAATAACATGTGATTCCATCAAACATGAACGATCATACCT